CACACTCACACACACAGAGTAAATATATATACTGTATATATATATATATATATATATATATAGTATTGTAATTATACATTCGTAGATATTGAAAATGCACGCAGCTGCACCTTAACTCTTTATTTCAGCCATGTTGGAGACGTGTCTGTCTGTTGGTCTGACTTCACACTGATGACACCAGGCTGATACTCCACTCTTATCATCACTTTACCTTTAATCATAGGGTTAATATTGTTGCCGTTACTGTCATACTGTTACTTTCGTTGATATTGATTGATTTTTACATTGAAACAATTCACTGTTTTCCACAGTTCTCTCTATTCACAAGCAGCATTAAAGAAGAAAAAAAAACTAATGGTTATTTTAAATACATTTTTAACTTGATGCCTTTGTTATGGTTCAGACTGTTGAGAATTTACCCCCCCCCCCCCCCCACTCCATTCATCCAAGCCTGAGTGTATCTGCAATTTCTCCAACAACCTGAAGGACACGATCACATGTACTATGTTCCTGTTCGTGTTCATAAAAACAGACTTCTTTCCACGTTTTACAACAGTGTGGTGTCACAGGCGTTCAAGGTGAAAGCTGCCTTTAGAGTGGTGATTTGTTATCGTGGCAGCCGAGTCACTAAGTCATTTTCATGGATTCTTTTAAACGTTCGTTCTTGCACATTAAAATTTAAAAAACCACAGTAAATTGAAAATATAACATGCATTCAGTACCAGGGGGCTTAGAGCAAAAGTGTGAAGGAGACACTTGAGGATACATTTGACCAAGAACACAAGAAAACCCCCTGAAGAAGTAATAAACTTGGTAATTGTACTCATTATCTCCACCGGACAACTGAGTCTACTTATCTTTGCTGAGCTCACAAGAGGCCATTATTGTTAAAATAAATATATACATTTCATGAATAATATCCGTTACTACTCCGAGGAGTGTCCAGGATTGAGGGGGAGTTCATCTAAATGTCTCTGGAGGATCCAGGGAAGCAGGAGGTGACTAACCCTTGGATGCTGTAAGGGAAAAATATTCAACTATTCTTTCACTTTATAATCATTAACACCATCAATCAAAACGTTTGATCAACCAAACGTAATGGAGCTGCTGCAACGAATCCCAGAGAGACTTAGAGGGAGCAGATATTTGTTTATTCATACCGTGCCTCCGGATGATCTCCAGTGCTCGGTTCATGTCTGTTAGCTCAAGATAAGACCAAAGCCTTTGTTGTCTCCTTCGCCGCGGGAAAAGTTTGTCTCTGACATTCAACCGTAGCAACATGTCAAATAAACATATGGTAACGTAATGTTCATAAAAAAATGTTTTTATAATTTACAAAGCATATTTCTAAATATTTTTATTGGTCTTTGTGAATATGAATCTCAGTCATTTTGCCCCATAATAAGCAAAAGATGTTGATTTTAAATTAACGAATTTTCCATGTCATGTCCGCCATTTTGCTTTCCAGCTACATTTAGCATACGCTAAGGTGTTATGTATAGCACTACATCTCTATCCTTTTTTTTTTTTATGATTCATGGTTTTACATTATAACCATGAATCAGCAGTTTGAAAAGGTAATGTTATTTGCCCCCCCCCACTCCGTTAGGGGGCGCAAGAGGATTTTCATCTCAGAGACTGGTTAACCAATTAGTGGACAGTAAGCAAATCCTGCTAACAGCCCGTCACCTATTTCTTTGGCTTTTAAGGGCAGCGCTGCATTCTTCAAGTTGCATTACTGCCACCTACTGGTAAATATTTCTTACAAAGAAATTATTTTTTTAAACAACGGGGTATTGTCTTTATACATTGATGTAGGAGTTATATTTTTTAAATTACGTTTATTAAAAAGATCAACTAAACATTTTGAAATTTTGAAAATATTTTTTTCCTTGAATTATTTTGTTTGTTCTCCTTTGCTTTTAATGCTATGCATTTCTAAAAATCAAAAGGGCTTTTTATTTTGTCATTCCAGAGGGAAGCGGAACGCTCTGCCCCACACTCCGGCGGTGTCTCTCTTTAAACCGTCCGTGCGGAAACCACAACCTCTCCATCCTCTGTGTCTGCTGCCCCGTTCGCTGTCATTCGTCCAAAGCGAAGCAGCCGGTACGATCGTGTCGCTGGCAGAGTGGAGCAGCGAGAGCCGCATGTAAATGAACACCTCCTTCTCCGTGTGGCTGTCACCTGAGGATCCACGGAGGCGCCGAGTGACGGTCCGGTCCTGCTCGTCGAGTCCCCGACCTTTGACGGGCTGAGTGGAGGGAAAAAGGTGAAGCTGCACTACTTTGGAGCCACGGTCGCTGCTGTGCGTCGCCACCGTCTCTCCCTGCAACACGGTGAGTGAACCGGGAGTTGTGTGGCGGTTCGTGTCCAGCGGTTCTCCGGTGTGGTGTGGTGTGGTCTGGTCGGGTCGACCCCTGCTCTGCTTTGGTGTGTTTGTTTTTGGTTTTTTTGTTGTTGTTGTGTATCCAGCGGGGCGTAGAGCTGCGAAGACTAGTTTGAGGAAGAGCGACAGCAAACACTTAGTCCATCCCCAAAAGCGCACATCGGAAGGTTGCTGTGTTCCTATCCGTGGGATACTGCGGAGTTTATGATCAGGAATGATTCGATCCAACTGATTTATAATCGCGATGTGATCAGAGTTTTAAAAAAAATTAGGAAGGGGGAGAAAAAAAAAACTCGAGAGTTGCGCGACGGGATTGAAGACGGGTCACATTGGGGACATGTGTCATCAAGAATCACATTGACGGTCCATATGCCTGCCGTTATCCACACATCATCACCATTACGCATCCCCGCGTGAATGATGATAAAGAGAGAACGATAGAAAGAGAGAGAGAGAGAGATATTGAGATTATGTGTCAGTCCTTGAACCTCGAACCTCCCACAGAGAGAATGACTGAGCAGAGGGGGGTCTGGATCCACATCCATCTGTCTTATAAACATCTGTAGACGTCTCACTTTTACCTCGAGCTCCAGGTTTCCTCTCTTCATTCATGTCACAGAGTTGGTTGGTTTTGCAGTTTTGGAGCCTCTTTATTTATTTTTATTTTTATTTTTTTTCCCTGGGACTGATGAGAAGCAGCAGCAGAAAGGTGTTGTACTGCACTCTTCAATGTTGGCTCCATGTTTTCACACCACAGGGAAATCAAACAGAGTGGAGTCAGTGATTAGATGACGGTGCCTACTTATCTGACAACGCTGGAAACTGGATCTCCCACACAGGAAATCAAACTTCAGCCTCTCTGTTGTTGGCTGAAAAGAGGTGAAAAAAAAAAAAAGAAATCTCCCCTCTACACCAGAAGCACCAGCCAATCTGCCGTCAAGACCCCTCCCACCTCCCACCCCCGACCCTAACACATTTTAAATGTCATATTTAATCTGAAACATCTCCCACGCTGACTGCTACTGCACATGAGCGTGTGTCGCTTGATGGAAGGTCCACCCAGTCCAGAAGCCCCTCCAGGAGGGCAGCGTTACGTGTCCCGTGTTAATAATGTAGTTTTATGTGTTACACTCTGATGTGTCTCGATGTTGATCCGACCTCAGGCAAAATGTCTCGCATGGATTTTAACCTCATTAGATGTTTCACTTCCCTCCGTTCGACCCAGCGTAAAGTTCAACGAGCTCTTCACATCAATATTTCAGGGTCTCGCTCTCATTTGACTTGTGATTGGCCACATTTGAGTCACGTCCTGTATTTGTGGCCTTTTGCTGGAACATTTTCCTATGACAGATTATCTAAATTGATCATCCCGTGTAATTAGGGTTGCCTGCTCACAGTTAATGGATGCATTAGATGATTGATCCCTTCTTAATGTCCTTGGGATACTTCCTAAAGATTCAGCACTTTTTTTTTTCTCCTCCCTCATGTAAATGTTAGCAGCGGCTGCATATATATGACTCGCCGGCTCTAAATTGTAGCAGCGACGATAATCTCTCTGCTCATAAATAAAGTGTCAGGGCCGGTCGGAAGCACAAGGAAACGTCAGATAACCTGATGAGTTTCTGCCAGGGGAGAGGCACGACCTGCTTCCCTGGCTGTTATTGAGAAATACTGAGTCTTTTGACCAGCACTTAAGGATATTTAGCACAGCATTTCTCAGAAAGCTGGGCCGCTACCCAAAAGATGTTCCCAGAATGCACAAATTGGCCTTAATCGAACACTGTCCTCACTCAGCTGTCTTCAGGTACAGTTGTTTCTGCTGAGTCTGTTCAAAAAAAAAAAAAAAAGTCACCTCACAGTTTTATCTATAAATACCAGGGTTTATGTTCCACAAATTACCTGTAAAGTAACTGAAACTTTTTTCCCACACCATTTTCCATGTGTTATTTGCAGGTTTTTGGTTGTTTTTTTCTTTACATTTTAAACAGATGCACAGTGACAGAAGAGCCTGGAAGAACATAAGAGACTGAACTGACAGTTTTGCACCTGTCAAAATATGCAATGAAGCTGCTACTGAACCAGTAGGAGGCGTTTTTATGGTCCATAATGACATCATTTTAAAATGTTTATAGAAAAATATATATTTTTTCCTTTAATTTGAGTGAGATGCTGAAGGGGTTTGCTCACGTCCTCGTCCTGTCAGACTATTATTTGGCAGCAAAACTTCCAAGAAAAAAATCAGTCTGTCAGTTCAAGCCAAGTGTCATGTGCTCATTATCCATCAACAGATCCCTGTGCGTCTCCTCTCCACACCTTATGGTGATAAGTTTGATCCAGCAGAGTCTCCGTGGCCAAAGAGAAGGGCGCAGGAAATATTCCCCAGAACGCTGTGGTTTCCTCCAGACTCTCACCTTGCGACTTCTCACCCTCCCCACTCACAAATCATCCTTGTCCCCTCCCATCTTCCAGACGCGTCCCCAGCCCATCACCTGCCTCCTGTCCTCCCCCCCTCTCCTCTCTCAACTGCCTGACACTCCTTGTGTTCTCGCACGCCCATCCGAGCCCCTCGTCCTCCCGCAGTCCTTTTCCTCGTGTTCACGGCCGACTGAAATAGGCATGAATCGTGTGAGGCGTTTTCTCCTGGAATTCAGTGCGGTTTGTGTTGTAGCTTTTCATTAGCAGTGTCTGCTGACACCCTCCAACTACTCCAGTATTCTGCGAGTGTTTTCCTAAAAAAATTAGATCTCATCAAATTTTCATTCGACGTCGTCCTATTTTTAGCTGTTGCATTCATCTTCTCGCTTTCAGTCCGCCCACCACCAAACATGTAAAAAGCCTCTGAGGAAGAAGGAAGTGGGGACTTAATGAATGAAAATGTTTGAGGAGGCCACTGCTGTGAAGGGAGAGAGCGAGGGGAAGAGGAGGAGGAGGAGGAGACACAGAGGAAGATGGAGTAGAAAGTGAGCCCGGTTCCGGGATTGTAGATGTTCCTCTTGGGATTTTTCAAGTGCCATTCATCAGCCGGTTCTCTTAAAGGAACATGAGGAGCCGGTCCTCACAGGCAGACTGTTCCCTGATGGTCCACACTGACCACTTAGCCCCAGCCTGTCTCCATGTGGTCCACATTTCACACCAGGATCAGAGCAGAGCAGAGAGAGCAGAGAAAAACTACTTCTGACTATTTCTGTGACAGTCTGATCTATTAAAAATGAATCTGTTTCAAAAGGAAATAATTATTTGTTTTGAGAAAGAGACACATATTCACTCGTATAAAGGCTCAAATATAAAGTATTGTTTTTAGTGTGTTTTTGAGTTTGGAAAATAAAAGGGCCTTGTAGTTCTTCTTTCTCCCCTGTAGGTGGTGCTGATACACATTTTAAAATGCTGATCAGTGTGTTGTATATACGGTAAATATATTTCTTCGTATTCTGTTTTTTTTATAAAAGAACAAGTAGTTAATATTATATATTTTATATTCATGTTTTACTTTAACAAAAACAGCCATTGTCCACCTGAGAGAGAAATGCATCATGGGACAAACTCGTCAGACCCAGTGGTCAATCACTCACAGCCTTCTGTCAAATAAAAAATAAGTTTATTTTAGAAATGATTATTGGCTGTAGTCAGTCACAGTGGAATTTGCTTCTCTAACTTTGGCAGCTTTGACTTCTTTGAGTTGATTTTCTTCTTCCTACTGGGTTCATTTTCCACTGGGGATTATTTTTTACCCAGAAGCCTC